TGAGGTGTCCCTGCCCGTGGCAGGGGTTGGAGCTGGAGGAGCTTTAAGGTCCCTTCCAACCCAAACCAGTCTGGGGTTCTACTATTCCATGAAATGAGAACATTCATGCTCATGCATGCCTGCTGCTGCTTCACATGGCTCATCTACCGAGGAAAGCACCTAAAATCAGTCCCAAGGCTGAAGGAAAAGAGGATTTGGTTTGGAGCTGGTGCCTGTCACCCTCCCGGGACAGAGGAACTGTACAAGTGGACAGACAGCCACCGAGGCCACGTGTTGGCTGTGCTGTCTGTCCAAAGCACGGCCGGTGCCACACCACCACCACTGTGGCTCACATTTGAAACTCCACGTGTCTTTGTGCCCAGGTGGCTGGTGCTGGCTCGAAGGGACCTTTTTGGTCCACTGAAAACAAGCTGCCTCCAGCACGCAGTTGGGCTGGCCGTGGCTTTGGCTAGCCAAACCTTGTACATCTCCAAGGATGGTGACCCCTCTGGACACCCATTTGAGGTTGTCTCACCATCCTGCAGAGGAGGCTTTTCCTGATGCCCAGCCTCAGCCCTGGGCCTGTCTGTCTGGTTCCCAAGAAATTTGGGTGATCTGACTCCTGCTTTCTCCTGAGCCTGCTGTAACCCTCCACTCCACGTAGCTCCATGCAGGGAATGCCGCTCCCTCGGGTTTTCCATCTGTTGGAGCAAGTTCCTGTAAATAAGCTGGTTTTCCCGATTCCCCATTCTTTTAGTTTTGCTTTTCCAGCGTTGCTGGCCTGAAGATACCAACCTCACATTGTGTACTCCTTCCCCATGACCCCATTTCGAGCCTGTGTCCTCATTCCCACCCAGTGCTGGTAACGGGCTTTTGCTTTGTCTCAGGGCTTTTGCAAACATCTTTTGCTTGTGTTTCTCTCCCATTAGGATTGAGCATGTCCCAAATCCCAGAAGGGATCTAAACTTGGATCAAGGTCTAGATCCAGAATCACAGTTCAGGTCAAGATTTTTCCTGGAGTCACTTTGGGGATCCCATTTTCAGGCTATGTCCAGAAATGCTACTACAAAGAGGAGAAGTCAACACTGATTCCTAGTTCAATCATGAGAAGTCCTCCAAGAGCAGGGACAGCATTTGGGCTCAGCCTTGAATGCTCTGCAATAGCAAGATCTCCAGACTGGAGGTGACCAAACTGTGCCCCATCGCCAGAATGGATTTGGCTTTTCATTTTATGGATGTTTCAGAGGAAAAGCCCAACAAAATTGACTGTGAAACTGCTTCTCACTCACGGGAATCGACCTGTTTATGGGAGGACGTGCTCATATGCGAGCTAGCAGCATGGAGCTCCTCATGGTTAATTATTCATCAGGAGGAGATGGTGATGCTGAAAAACAAGGCCAGGGAATTCCTGATCAATACAAAGCTCTGACTCATTGGCGGAGGCTCGGGAGAAATGCAGGGGAATAGACTGAATTGCTCACAATTATAGGACATTATGGCACAGAAAGTTTGTAGAAATGGGAAGAAAAGTCATCCTGGACAATTACCATGGGATGCTGAACCCATTGTCAGGAAAAGCCAATTTTTATCCGGGAGGGAGCTGGGCAGCACATCATCCCGGGTGGAAACAAGAGCAATGCAGCACTGCTCAGCGGGAAATCCTGCCACGGGGATTTCCATCTGCACCCAGCATCTTCCCCACAAGGTGCAGTGCAACATATTGCCATCAGATGGCAAAACAGCAATGGGGATGGTGGACAGGGGGCACTGGGGTGCAAGGGGGGGGCTGTGGAGCCAAATGGATCTGTGGTGTAAGGAAGGTGTAAAGATTTGCTTGGCCCAGGGACAGATGTTGGGATGTGCATCCCTGGGAGATGCTCTGTCCCTGGGCAAGGCTGAATGGGAGCTATGGGGGTGCAGCGGATCTGGGTCCTGTTCCATGTTTTAGGGGGGGTGCATGGACCCCAGGAAGGGTTTCAAAGATGTTGCAGTCCAGTCATAGAACCATAGAACCCCAGCCTGGTTTGTGTCGGAAGGAACCTTAAAGCTCCTCCAGCTCCAGCCCCTGAC